AAGAAAAACATGGACCCACATAAGAGACTTGAGAAACACCCCAACTTTATTTCTTCTTCTTCTTCACCTCAGTGTGATGTGCCATGCTCTAATGGGCTAAGTTTTTCACTAGTCAAATAGCGAAATGTAAGGAATGAAAACAGCTGCTTTTATGTCCAAACGTCAAACATGTGCAGTCGAGCATGGCGAGTGAAAACCCTACACTCTGTTAACAACATAAAGATGTTTGCTACAAGAAGTGGATGTGGACAGTTTGAGAAATGAAGGCGTTTATAATGTGCACTGAAACAAATGGAGAGCTGAATGAGCACTAGCAAAGTACGCAATCGATCACAGAGTGTGAGGGGAGCGACAAAGACAGAGGAACGTGTGAGCGAGAGGCCGTCGTGGAGGGAAAGATGGAGTTGGAGGCAGGGGGAGTAAAGGATTCGGGGGTTTGTGGGTGGGTGCTGATAAAGCCGAGTCCTGGAGGATTAACTTGTCTTGAGTGTGTTTCGGAGCCGGCGTGGTTGAGGGACAGGCACTCTGCTAAGGGGTTCTGGAAGTTTTCAGATGCCCTGTCTGCAGTCTCACATTGACACACACACACACACACACACACAAACAGAATAATAACATTCAGGAACACAAAAACAACAACCCCTAGATACAAACACGCACTCAGAGTGAATGAACAGAGAACGGCACCCGCACACTCTGTCTCGTTCTCCCTCTGTTTCCGACCCAGCTGTTGACCTGCCAGTGCTTCTGGTTTTTATTGTATTAAAAGCCTATCGGAGCTCTCACACTTTGTTTTTACCATATTTTCACCAGTCCTCAAGGTAACTTTAAATTAACCAATTAATTGGCTAAATAACTATTTGACAGATAGTTGAACTTGCCAGTTTAGTGTGCTTAACTGTTTTAACCTTAATATTTTCAGTGCAGTTGTCTAAAATGTTCTCCACCCAGTTCATGCTATGTCATTTAAGCCGTAATGCTGAACAGCTGAGTGGAAACAAACCTTCACTCTAGGCTATGAACTGTAATTCCGATTCTGGAGAGATCATGAATTTCTGACAGTGGCTATACCTCCCACCCAATGAAAAGAAGAGACCTGTCAGTCAACCCTTGGCAAAATGGCTGCAAATATACTTCAGTTACATTACAATAAACTACAGTATCACCACTGATACAATCCGTTCATCTTATTTGATGGAAGCTATAACACAGTATACACTGCTTATGCTGTGCTTCTTCCAGCTGTTCTGTTGTCACTTCCTGTTTAATTTTTAGAGACAACACAAAAGGCAACATGCTGCTTTTAGTTAACTAAATTCAACTTCTGAAAAGATCTTTCTGGCTGGCGGAGGATAGCACCTATTTTTTTAGAACCTGCCTAATGAGTCTAAGCTAGCAGGAAGCACCAGAGTGTGTCACACAGAAGATACAGTTGAGAGACCTCAAGCTGATCCCCTGCGGTATGTTGTTTTCTCAAAAATGCAAATGATCTGCAAAGGAAATCACTGTAATTTTGTGTCACTTAACAGATAAACTCTCCAAGAACTTCCTTTCAGTCGTCTTCTGGAGGAAAACTTGGCAGGATTTATTGATGAGTCGATGAGTGTTTATCATTCCCCATGTCCAGATCTTCCTGACTGTTTCAGAGACCAGATCCCTGCAGCCTTTAATCAACCAGTGACATGAGTTAGCGGCTCTGTTTCACACTGTGACGCTCTCGGCTCTGGCTGCTCAGCCAGTGTCAGCTGAGGAAGGTGACAGGACTCTGGTGTGAAAGTGCTGATAGGGGTGTGCTTTTTTCAGAACGTTCCCACACGGAGCGTCTCCAGAGCCGCTGACACTGACAGCATGATGGGTGATGAGGGTGCCTGCTGTCAGTCACCCAGAGCCCAGCATTGCAGCACAAAATGCAGACCACTACGTTCATATCACTAGAGCTGAAATGAAGTCAGTGAACTGGACAAGACAACCTGATGGCAATTTTAATGTTTGATTCATTTTTAATATCATCTAGAAAAACCACGTTGGCGTCCAGTGAAAACATGAATGTTCAGTTTTGGTAAATGATTGATTTTTTTTTTTTTTTATTCTGCTACTTCTTATCTCAGCAAAGCACAGCTGACAACAGGTTGTTTGTATTAGCTAATGAAACTTTGAACATTTTGAAAATACATGACAATTACTGTACTGCTTTTTAAACTTGAAGATTTAAAATATTTCTCCATTTCACATAAAAAAAAAAAAAAAATCGATTAAATGTCCTGTTTTTTTACTCATACAAAATAAGAAATAGGAGTAACACTTTATTTTCCTAATACTTTCTTGAAAGTTTCTTGCAAAGAACCATGTAGTTTGTTATTAATTACAGAAAAATAGGGACAAAGTTCTAAGACTGATTTTTCCTTAGTCTACTGAGTTGTATTGACTTTCTTATGGGTATCCATATGGATTTTCATGAAAGAAATTGCTCAGTGTAAACCCAGTTAATGTTTATTGTTTATTTATTAATTATTTGAAATGGTACTCTTCATTTATGCTGACTTGGATGGTCGTTTGTGGACAAATTTAACATTTTGCTTGTGTAGTTCACCTTCTGTCCTCTGACTAAAGCCTTGTGTGTTTGCTAGCTTAGCAAAAAAAATAACTGGAAGTGCACCGACTGTGTTGCTCTCTAATTGTACCTGGAATTTGTATCTAATTTTATGGCTCCTTCCAGGAAACGTCTTAGGAAATTATTTAGAAATAAACTGGAATTTACAGACCTGTAAAGTAAAGTTTTACAAAAATAAGTCTTTTCTCTGGTGTCATTACTTCTGCTGCACATGATTAATTGATTAAACTTATCATTCAATGATCAAGGTGATTTTTTTACAGTGTTTGAGCTGTAGCTATTCTCACAGGGGGGCTTTAGTGCAATTTGACTACATCCCAACAAGTTTAAAGAAGCAATAATTGATTTCTCTGGCCACTTGTGCTGTAAACATAACATTTAATGACATTATGACTTTATAACGTTGATTTGCTGAAGATGCTTGCAAATAGTTGTGGACACAGAACAACATTAACATTCATTTGAAGTTGTGATTTGGCACTTGCTGAATGTAACTCAGCGGTCACTCTACTCACAAGAGCTGTGAGACAGAACCAGGCTGGAAAACCAAAACAAAAAGCTGAAAGTTGCTAAAGCACTCCACAGTGTTTGGTGACAATGTTAATTCTCTGTGGGCTCATTGCTGTGACACTACATTGATCCATTGCTAATATGAATGTATTGATTAGTGCAGATTCAGACCTGACTTCATAAGAAATACTTAGAGAATCAGTAATGTCTTTTAAATCACATTCATTCTTTTTATTTTTCCAGTTCCTACATTTTGTTTATTTACTCTCTTTTAATTTAATAAGTTCTATTCGCTGCACTTTTATGTGCTGAATTTTATTTTACTGTGATGCTGAAAATGTATTTTATTATATGCATTGAGTTTTTAACCATCCAGATTCATAGAAACTATGAATGTACCAGTTCATAAAAAATTTGTTTTGTTGAATGAAAGATTATTGAAAACTGCTAAATGTGTTTCATATTTTTCAACATGAAATATCAGCAAAATCTCTGTCTCTCTCTCAAACACACACAAACACACACACACACACACACACACACACACACTACATGTCCAGATGTTCAAGTGGCGGATGGTGGAGAGACATAATCCAGACAGGAGCTAATTGCGTCTTTTTTTGTATCTGTGTATTTATATCCATGCACGCCTTGTATAGAGTATGTACTGTACCTGCGTGTGTGTCTCTCTGTGTGCTACAGAAGCAGCGCTGAGAGGAGGGGCTGTGAGGAGCCTCAGGGTGTGTGTCTGTGTCATAGATGGTGAGTTAATTGAGCCATTAGGATGATTACACCCTGTCGGTCTGCTGTTTAACCAGGGTGGTGGTTAGCATTCATCTGAAAGAAACTAACATTATTTAGTGTGTGTTTTTTTACAAGACATTTGAGTGTGTGTCAATGTTACTTTGACATGTTGAGATCAAAGAGGAAGTCTTCTTCATGGGTGGCATCGGTACAGTGATATGCATCTTCTGGCCTACTGGTAGGTTCTTAAGAATCATTTTCAGGTGTGACAACAGGTTATATCAACCATTTAATGGAATGTTAACATTTGAATTGGCTAATTTTATTCATGAATTGTGCTACAGAAATTATGTTTATTATTATCAACATGATTATTATAAACAAGTGGCATCCACATAATATTTCTTTTGTTTTGTTTGGGTGAAAAATTACAGATTTCCTTTTGTTCCGTGCAGATATTGTAGAATAGAAATCACTGACATTTCAATAATGGTCCATCTTTACATCTCCTTTACATCTCAGAAATCCCACAGTGAAATGCATCTCGTTTTACAGGTAAAACTGCATTGTGGTTGTATGTCTCTTCCAACTAGTCAAATTCAGAGGAATGGCACAGATATGAGGTCACTGTCCTTAACCTTTGGCCAAAATGCAACCAGTTCACCTGTGAGTCCAAGTGGACACTACTGCCATATTTGAAGACATCTCCTCAAGGTGTTCCTGACATATCGGGCATCAAGATGGGGCAGTAACAGACGGATAGGGGGGAAAACCAAAAACATAATGCCTCTGGCTGCAGCTTTTGTCAGCACAGAGATATAAAACATATTGTATGATTCAATAGTTGTCAGTGATGATGCAAAATGATGATGATTTGTAAGTGTCTGAAGTTTCAGTTCACTGCTTATTATAAAGTAATTTGAGTATTTAGGGAGTTGCAGACTGATATAAACATGTTTTTATTTCATTACAAGGAGTTATTTTGAAACATCTGTAAATAAAAGTCAATATATTTGGCCAGTTGGTATTTGCATCTTTGATATTTCTATTCTTATTTTCCTAACAAATAAAGCCAACCAGATCAGTAAAGATATTGAAGATTATTCAAATACCAATGTGTCCAATGTGTGTGTGTGTGTGTTTGTTTTTTTATTTACTTGTATGGCATTTATAGCCTGAAAAGGAGGCCTGGCAAAGGAATCTGCAGCACATTTGATAAATGTTTAATAAAGGCATTTTTCACCGTGCGGCATTTTTTTCTAATGGCCATTAATGGGGAGTATACATTGCACGTTGGCACATGAAGACAGAGGAGACGTCTTTGAGCCAACAGAGATAAAGTGCAACTCCTGCTCTGCCTTACACACACACACACACACACCTTCCTCCACCCTAACAGCACCCTCGGCGAGCCCCCTGTTCCCTAGTCGCTAATGATGGACAGCTGAAGGCACACTCCTTGGGCGCCAATCAAATTTTCAGGCCTGTAATTGGATTACGCCGTGCAGGGGGGAGGGCTTTTATCTCTCCCTCTCTCTTTCTTGTTTGTGTTCTCATCTGTGGGTGAATGATGAACAAAAGAGCGGCCTGTCAGCGTCAACTCCAGGCTGACAGAGGATGTGTGTGTGCGTGCTGATTGTTTAGAGGTTTGGAGCCAGCATCGACAGCTGCTGAGTGTATTGACATGGCTTTCTATGTGTGTGTGATACTGCTGTCTGTTTTTAAACATAGTGTATGTGTGTCTCTATGGTTGTGTGTCTACAGTATGTGTGTGTAGGTCTGAGGCAGGCAAAGAGCTAATATCACTTAGCTCATTGGCTCGTCTCTGTTGCCTTTTCACCAGGGCTCAACACCAGGATGACACTAAGGCCACTGTCCCCAGCCAAGTCCTGCTGCAAAAGAAAAGATGACAAATCACAGGCGTAATAGAGCTAACAGCCACTGTAGAGGCTTTGTCGACTGAAGATGCTCCTGAAGATGTGTGTGTGTGTGTGAAAGCAGGTGGGCCTCTCTCCAGCAGTTTTATTTCCTTTATAGTGGAGAATTACAAAAGCCAAGGCAGTGGAAAAGGCTGCAGAAAACACTTTAATAAAGTGCACGTCAAACACAGTTTGCCCGCTGGTTTATCACTGGCTCAAGCTATCAAATGGGGGGAAAAAAAATTATGCAATTAGTGAGTCTGCAAAATTCTGTCCACCGTTGACTCATCTTTCAGCTGGTTTTTCAATTCAGCCAAATGAAAAACTGTGAAATCAGCAAATCTTTACATTTGAGAACCTGGAGATGTTCCACTGCCAGACCCTCTGTTTGGACACGCAGAAAGCCATAACAACTCTAAAGTCATCTGAGGTAAATTTGTGGTTTGTGATTCTAGGCTGTATCGATAACACTGACCTGTCTGTGGTACAACTGCTGATGGAACTAACTACCGTCGTTCAGTTGCTCCACCATTTTGGTCCTGATTTTGACAAATATTGGACGGATTACCATGAAAGTTGGTACAGACATTTGCTAGTGATTTTACAGCTCAAGGTATAGAACAACCAACTCTGTGATTAACGGACAACCCACTCTATGACCCGAATACAGCACCACACTTTTTTCACTGGCTTAAAATAACTATAAAGCAACAGCAATATCACTACTTAACTACCTGTAATTGTAACGTGTGAGATACACACACATATCTCAACGGGTGAACACATTTTGACACAAGACTGGCAACTGCTGCATTATCTAAAATTACTGTAAAGAGGTTTCTGGTAAAATATGAGCAGTGTCCTTAGGGATGCTGTCCCCTTGGACATCAACATGCCTGTGAATGAGGCTCCACACTTACTGCAGTTCAACAACTCAGGGGTTAACATCACCAGACTGACCCTGTCAGCTTCCTCAGCATAGAAGAGGAAGTGGAACTGAAAGTGAAAATGCCCTAAATCTACTGCATCTGCCGTAGCCTAAAGCTGTAGCACGGGAGACCCAGGAGGCAGCTCTGCTGAATAAGGCTGTTCTTATAACTGATAGGAGCTATTGTCAAAACAACAAAAATAAGACCCCAGTGAGACAAGTTCAGAATTTAGTTTTAAAGAAATCCTGTATTTGTTTGAGCGCTGCTATGTGTGCAGCATGTGTTTGGTGTTTCTGTGGATGCCAATGAGACGCCAGCCATATCAGCGTGGTGCCTTGTATCTGCCGAAGGAAGATCAGCGAGGAAGTCACAGACATGCCCCAGGACTTATCTTTTATTGGCTAGCTCCCAGGAGGCTTATCTTTTATTGGCTGGCTCCTCCATCAAGCTTATCTTTATTGGCTGGCTTCTCCCGAGGACAGCCTGTAAGCTGTGCAGGGCTGTGGTGGAGGTGGTGGTGGGTGGGGGGTGCCAGGATGACTGGGACCGACACAGATAGCTCTATCACCAGTGTGGGAAAAATACACAAGCCTGTTTCCACCTTCAGGCCAGAGAGACTCACAGACTACTCTCTCTCATTTTCCCTTCGTCACCTCACTTCCTCCCTCCTCTACCTCCCCCGTTCTCCTTCAGTTTTCCATTGTTTTGACCCCAAGACCCATTTTACATGTCATGTTACTCAATTAGTCAATGCTCGGATTGACTGTGGAGTGATTCACCTATTGTGCACTTCCTCTGACTAAACCTTGTGCTCAGTGACAACAACAGAAAGAATGTTTACTGTGACATATCAAATTCAACACATTTCTAACAAACTATTTTAAGATAACTTCTCAGCTGTGAAATGTGTCCTCTGTTTTGGCGTTTCTTTCACAACAACATTTCAAAGCAGCAACAAGGTCTGACATTTTCTACTATTGGAACTGAGTGGACTGGCTGCAACATGGCGGCAGCAGCAGAGATGCAGAAGGAAAATGTGCCCCATGCACCCATTTAGTGGGATGGGAGCTTTGTTTCTGGTCGTGTAGTTTTAATGTTAGTGATGCATTCACATGCAGATGTCTGACCCGTTAAACCATCTGTCCAGATATCATGCAAGAACTTTGCACTTCACTTAAATCCCACTTATTCTGAAAAGTATTTTGCCACCTAGCTGATCTGGGAGCTGCCATTTTACCATTAAAAAGTCAGAGTATAGTAACTGCAAGATTCTACGGAACATGAAAAGTTGTGTGGTATTGAAAATGAGGATTAGAGACACCAATTTTGTTTCAGTATTTAGTACAAGAAAACACCAGTACACACAAGAACACACACAACCCCCAGATGAGTGGCTTTTAGGCAAGAGTTCCCAGTAATAGCAGAATCTTTTATTCAACTGTTTTTTTTATACTCCCCCATCCTCTTTTAATTATTACTGTTTTAAATTCCCTCTGCATCCTTTTACATCCCTTTGTCCCCAGACCAATGACAGACACTGACATTGTGAGATTGTGAGGTGTTGGTTTCAGTCAGCAGCCTCCTTGCTGTTCATCACATGTAACATCACTGTCTTCTGTGCATACAGGATTGTATGTGTGCGTGTGTGTGTGTGTGTGTGTGTGTGCGTGTGTGAAATGACAGAATAAGATGCTGTTCTTCTCAACACTTGTTTCCTGGAGTCTGGCCTATCAGGGAGATAAACAGCAAATCTCTTTCAGCAGGTCTGTTACAGGAACTGCTGTTCACAGGCGCTACACAGTTAGATCATCCAGAGGAAAGCTGATAACTGACCTGTGCAGACCCCGGCTGACTGTTAACAATAATTAGTATTTTAAGAGCTACAGTGATGTCTGAAGCAGACACCTGCTGAAATTTAGTCCTGGACAACGTTTACACAATATAATAGAATTTTTGTGTAGTTGATTGCTTTATGTTTGTTTTTGTGGAACATTGCTTGTCAAAACAATGCTATTTATTCATTCATTCATTTTCTACCGCTTAGTCCCTGAACGGGGTCACGGGTGGGTCCGGAGCCAATCCCGGCCGGCAATCGGGCGAAGGTGGGGTACACCCTGGACAGGTCGCCAATCCATCGCAGGGCTAACACCACACACACTCAGTCCTATGGGCAATTTAGAGACACCAATCCACCTAACGTGCATATCTTTGGACTGTGGGACGAAGCCAGAGTATCCGGAGAGAACCCACGCAAGCACGGGGAGAACATGCAAACTCCGCACAAAATGGTCCCGGGTGGGGCCCAAACCTGGAACCTTCTCGCTGTGAGGCAACGGTGCTAACCACTGCGTCACCGTGCTGCCTGGAAGACAGTATATTCCAAAGAAAATAAGTGCTAAATAAATATAAACTTGAATAATTGTACATATTTAATGCCTGATATATACAAACTTTGGTTTTTTTAATTTTCAAAATTGATCTCTTAACATCTGCTAATGTGATGATGACAGCTACAGTATATGAGTGTGGTTCATGATGTGAATATTCTTTGCGTTATTTTAATACTGGATCGCTATAATGGTGTGATCCCATTCATATGTGACTGAAAGAGAAAAAGGAATACAGTATCCATCCATCCATCCATCCAAATGCTCACTGGACCAGAGACGGGGTGGACCCTGCATAGGTCACTCACATTCACACTTATGGGAAATCGGGAGTTGCCAATCACCCTAAGCTACATGTCGTGGGACTGTGGGAGGAAGCAGGAGTACCCGGAGAGAACCCATGCAGGCACAGGGAGAACATGCAAACACAGAACCTTTTGCTGTGAGGCAACGGTGCTAACCACTGCGTCACCGTGCTGCCTGGAAGACAGTATATTCCAAAGAAAGTCTTATTTGATATATTTGTGGTTGCAAAATTATTGATGAGTGAAAAGACATGCATAGTGCACGTAGCTTCATCCTCCACCCTTCAAACCTGCTAAGTGGTTTCAGGCTGCGTACTTTCACTTCCCTGGACACACATACACAAAATGTATAGCCTATATACCCTGGACAGAACAGAGCCTCAAAGGGTCAGAAGATACTTTTGGATTCAAGGTCACTTTGCGCCACCACAGCAAAAAAAAACAAACAAACAAAAACTTTAAAAACAAGACTTCAGGGAGGCAGGAACACTCAGGAACCAACTGACTTTGCAACACTATAAAGAACTGAAAGAATCTGTGTCTATTCACAGTGTCCTCTCTGTCTGTCTGTCCAGCTCTTAGTGAGGAGGCTTACATCCCCCTTGCTCCCCCAACTCAAGAACCCTGGACCCCCTTATCAGTGCTCCCCACTTCCAACCAAAAACACCTCTGTCCTCCATGTCTCTAAAAATCCTGATAAGTGTGTGCATGTGTGTGTGTTTACTGTGTCTGTTTTTATGATTGTGTCCTGCTGTGGCCCCTGTCTGTCTCCAAGCTTTAAATGACATCACTGGACTAAGAAGGGGAAGTATGTCTGGAGGTTGTGTGTTGTCTTAAGGTTGCCGTGACAACGGCATCATCCAGCAAAACTGGAGGCTTATCACTCCAAAAAGCTTTTAAAAAAGAAAAAAAAAAAACACAGAGTTGAGGCTTTAGGAAGCAGAGCCTGATGGGTAAATAAGTTAGCCAGGATCCATCTCCGCCATTTGAGACCAGTTCCCGTATACTCTCATTACTAATTGAATATAGTGTGAGTGTGTGACTGTGCATATTTGGACAGGCTATTGAAATCGTTTGTTTGTAACAATCTTTTATTTCTGTTTTATTTTGTGCTCAATTTCTATTTTATTTGAATGTTTATGCTTTAATTAGCCCATCTAGCTTTTGTATAAAACTTACTCTTGATTTATTTCCAGGCTCTGCACATCCACACAGGTGTTTTCAGTTACTACCTGATAGCTCAGGATGAATCTGAATGATGCTACAATGGCAATGACATCCAGACAAGACTTTGTAGCTGGGTTTCCATTCATGTGTTCCTATATGCATTTTCAATTTCTAAAAAAAAAAAA